GTCGGCGTAGGCAAGTAGAAAGTGGAGATGCGCTGGGGTGTACGCCGGGCGTGCACTCTTTCGCGGCCTCGACTAATAATTTAAACCCATAAAATTTTCTTTTTCTTTTTCTTTTTACTTTCTGTTCTTGTCTCGGACTGGACTCGTCTCGGTGTCTGAATGTATGTACTTATGTACTCCCCCGATGTAGGCCATTGTGCCAGTTTCTTTGTGTTTTGGTTGTATTTGTTTTGGTGACTTGTTTAGCCTTTCTGGTCTGGAGCGCCGCTAGCTTGTATGCGGTCGCGCCAGGCCTAATAAAAATGAATAAAACCCAACCCTGCATCCTGAGTGAGTGCAATTAGAATTTCAACTTTAAGTTCCTATCGACTCTGTAGAAATCCAGAATGCCCGGTTTTCAGGTGACTTTTACCTAAAACCTAGATGCAATACCTGAAATTTCAACCCATTTGCCTCAAAGTACTGTGCAATCAAAAACCAGGGTTGGCTTTTAACATTCTAACTGCTTGGAAGGCATCTATTTTGGTAATCCATGAGTAGTTTATGACTGCTATCAGACACAAAATGTAATTCTGGGGTAAATCACTTCAAGGGGCCTTTGAGCTGAAATGCATAGTCTGGGCCAACCCCGCATGAAGTGTGTAACTATAAACCTAAAATCTAGGTAGTTTAGAGTTCTTAGACTTGGAAAACACTTGGGTAGACACAATTGTTTTATTGTCTGAAAAAATTCTGAAAGGTCGAAAATTCGGCTGCCCCTCACTCCGTCAGTTTTAATGGGGGTCTATGAGTGTTTTGGCTGCAAAAAGGTTAGCAAAAGTAATGCCACGAACCCGGATTGAACGGGTGACCTGTAGATGTAGCAGATCACGTGACCAGATGGTTACGTAACTTCAGTCTAACGCTCTCCCAACTGAGCTACCGCGGCTTGTTTATCTGACCCAGTGCATAAAGTAGATTCCTTTCAAAGCTTTGGCCAGCTCAAGGACGCATGACCACCCACCTTCCCTACTTCAATAATGGCTTCTAGCAGCTCATATTCTCAGATATTTATTAGTGCTTAAATAGGTGTTCCGTAGGAAGTAATCGCGCAAGACGAGACGCATCAACAGGCGTCGCGGTCGCTTCTGCTCCGAGCTGAAATCCTGCTGCTCATGTGAGCGCTGAGCCTACCTGACTTCAATAAACCGACATGAACGGGTCTCAGAAGCCATTCAGGTTGTGGTACTTGAAAATCTTGGTAGAAAAAATCACCTCATAAGCAACGCGTGTGCCCGTAGATCATCGTACTTTCATCGAGCATCGAAATACCCAACGATCGCCCCAGCCTTACATCATTGACACATAAACCACTCATTAACCACTCACGCGATCACCCGAGGGCGAACTGAATCTAGGTACTTCCTATAGTGTATGCGACCGCTAGGTCATGGGTTCCTAGGTCGCATGTGCTGGCGAATGAACTGAGTTTCAACGTGCGTGTTTTAATGTGTGTGAAGGTTTCGTTTGAGGCGTGTTGGTGAGACTTAAAAGTACATGCTGCTTTGAGTGAGGGATACGTAGGCTGGTGTACCTGATTCGTGGCGGGCGCCGAGGCGTAGAGCGGTGAGGCTGTGGTTGTATGCGATTTGACGTCTTAGAAGCGTCTTAGAAGGACGAGCTGAAATTCCTGGCTCTGGTGTGTAATGAGCGCTGGCAAAGGCGTCTACGAGTATTTTAACTCAAACTCGGGCATAGGAATACGTAGATTCAATCTTGAATTCTAAATCGTTCTAGGCCACAAGTCGCCACCATCTCGTCAACCATTCATTTCAGACTGGGAAGTCGATCTTGCACATTGTGATCCGCCCGAATTTATACCGTAATAAGTAACCCTTTCCAGCCCCACCAGATCCATTCCAACACCCTATTCTCAAGCGGATACAGTAGTAACGAGGTGCTAGTGGACAGAACCCCCGTTGTCGTCGATAGACACGAGGCGGTGTAGTGCAGCGAGGCGTGTTCATCTCGCGTCTGTGGCTCGAGATTAGATCTCTACGTCATGATGAAATTGGTTATTATGTGGCCGCTGGGCGAGGCGAGGCAAGGGTTGTGAGTGCTGCGCGTGGATGAATGGGTGAGGGAGGGACTGGCGGCGACGCGATCGCCTAATCAAGGTCGGAACTCACTCGGGTGGATGGTGAGGCGTGGTTGAATGTCATGACTTGCGTGTGTTGGAGCTAGAATGTAATCTGGGCGTCTGATAGGTCGCTTACGAGTCGTAGCGAGGTGAATGAATAGACTTACAAGTCCAATCGGCCTTCCACTCCATGACCGAACAGGGTAATTGTTCGGCGACGCAACATTAGCGCACACAATAAGCAATTGACTCGAGATAGAGCCTCTCCCCTCGCCTTCTCGCGCGAGTCAAAGCACCCTCAGCCAGTAAGATTTCAAGGTACGCCCCCCATCTCCGCAGAAAATCGCTCCAAATGACGATTACACGCAACTTAGGCTCCCCAAGCGACAGCACTCGCCCAAAATGCCCGTGGCCCCTATCCCACACTGCGCCGATATTGCTGCTCGCCGTTCGAGCCAAAGCCGTGCTTATCCAAGAAACGCCCCCGAAGGTCGTTTACCTACATTGAGTAAAGCGTGGAAAATCCATTCCAGACCTCCTCAGGGCTTCCCAAGACGTAAAATCTGAAATGTGTCGAGGAAAACCTGAGCCCGGAATGCAGGAATTTCAACCATTTCTGTTTGTCTCGAGAACGACGCTAGCGAACCTTCGCAAGACTCAGGGAGCGGGCGCGAGCTGAAAGAGGAGATGGACGCCCGGGATGAAATCACGTGTGGGACGTAAGAGGACAGACAAATGAGTCCGCTGACGTCAGACAAACCTCATTCACGTGTTCGGGACAACTTGAAGGTCCGAAGCCGAAGAAATCAATGCTCTTGGATTGGCTCGACGACGACGACAGCGAGGATGATGCTGAGCAGGCATGGACGAACGGTGAGGTTGCGACTGAGCCATGTACGAGCTCTTCATGCGACGCGGGCAGCACGCGAGAGGTTCGATCCAACGGCGGTGGAACGTGCAGAGGACGATGTAGATGTGTGTATCGTCGGTGCTGGCCCAGCAGGACTTAGCGCGGCAATCAAACTGAAGCAGCTGGAGAAGGAAAAGGGGCGCGAGGTGCGCGTGGTCGTGCTCGAGAAGGGGCCAGAAGTCGGTATGTCTTTTTAGACACCACGACATCTTCGTACTCAGCTATGGTCAGGCTCGCATATCGTCTCTGGCGCCGTCATTGAGCCTCGAGCCCTGAACGAGCTGCTACCGGACTGGAAGGATTTACCTGACCATCCGCTCACGACACCCGCTACGTCCTCGTCCATGAAATACCTCACGTCCAAATACGCAATCCCGATCCCGCACCCGCCTCAAATGAACAACAAGGGCAATTACGTCGTCTCGCTCTCCCAATTCACACGCTGGCTAGGCTCCGTAGCAGAAGAAGCCGGCGTCGAAATCTATCCAGGCTTCGCCGGCGCCCAACTCCTGCACGACGCCGATGGAGCTGTACGAGGCGTGGCGACGCACGACGCAGGACTAGACAAACGACTTCACATGAAACAGTCCTTCGAACCTGGTATGGCATTCCGAGCTCGCGTAACAATCCTCGCAGAGGGCGCCCACGGGTCTCTTACTAAACAGGCGATCAAACGATTCAAGCTGCGTGAGGGGAAGGATCCTCAGACGTACGGGATGGGCGTCAAGGAAGTGTGGCGCGTCGACCCGAAAAATCATCGACCGGGCGAGGTCATCCATACCATGGGCTTCCCGCTCAATTATCAAACTTATGGGGGTGGGTGGGCGTATCACATGGAAGGCGGGCTTGTCAGCTTGGGTCTTGTGATCGGGTTGGATTATGCGAATCCCTATCTTAGCCCGTATAAGGAACTCCAAGTACGTATGGGCTCACACACCGTAATTGACCTAATTTACTTATGTTTACGCGCCGCAGAAACTCAAACATCACCCGTACTTCGCATCCCTCCTCGAAGGAGGCGAGCGCGTTGGCTACGCAGGTCGTACACTGAACGAAGGGGGCTTCCAATCCATCCCTCGTCTCGACTTTCCTGGTGGAGCGCTCGTCGGATGCAGCGCTGGATTCGTCAACGTACCAAAGATCAAGGGCACGCATACGGCCATGAAGTCGGGAATGCTAGCTGCTGAGTCTGCGTACGAGCAAGTTGTCAAGGGAGACGAAGAAGAGGCCGTTGAGGTTCGTCTCTTTCTCTCTTGCGTATGCGTCGTTCTAATGCGCGATGTAATTGTTAGGTTGCTTCGGCCACACCATCCATTTCGGCATACGAAACCCGTCCCTCTGATATGTCAGGTTATGCGTCTGCTCTTAAGCAGAGCTGGGTTTGGTCCGAACTTAAAGCAGTACGAAATATTCGACCGTCGTTCAACACTTCCCTCGGCATATGGGGTGGAATCGCATGGAGTGGATTGGATACGCTGATTGTCAGAGGGCATGCGCCGTGGACGTGGTCACATGGGACAAAAGTGGATGCGGAGCATACTAAGAAAGCCAGGTGGGCCCTCTCATTATTTATTCTGTCATTTCGCAGGGTTTGAATTTGGACTGAGCTGATTTTGAATATGTAGCGAATGCAAGCCAATCGAGTACCCGGCACCTCAGCCTCCGCTCTCAACAGATCTATTAACAGCGCTCGCGCTCACGGCGACCAACCATGCCGAGAATCAGCCTGTACACCTACAGCTCCCTCACATGGGCGTCAATAATTTTGATTCGGAAGCCGTAAGCTCGCCATCCATCTCTTTTCATCTTTAGCCTAACGTGAAGAGCGGATATGTAGGCAGTTAAGGCCAGGCACGAACATGTGAAAACCAACGTCTCGGAATACGCTGGTCTGCTGGGCCGTGCGTGCCCTGCTGGGGTGTACGAGTATGTCGATGGAGGTGTTGAGCCTGGTACGTCCTCTAAGTCCTTCCAAGCATCTAAAATTTCGAAGAGCTCAGCCGGGTATATGCTCCCTCATGATTACCTAATATATTTTCTCCCAACCTGTCTTCCCGCCTCTCACTCACTTTTTGTATAATTTTTCAGGTACCGCGGTCCCAGAGGGAAAAGAGGAAGACGCTGGCTGGGGTGGCAAAAAGCTCGTGATCAACTCGCAGAATTGCATACATTGCAAGTTGTGTGATATCAAGGTCCCGACACAGGATATCAACTGGACGGTCCCGGAGGGCGGAGGTGGACCCAAGTATAGTACGTATTACCTTTCTTCTAGGTTTTGGGAGAGAAGTGTTGATTTTGGGATGGTTGTGTAGCTGTTACTTAGCTTGGCATTTTTGGGCCGGCTTGGGAGGAATGTTTGGATTGGCTTAGGAGATGGTACGGTATAGGCAGCGTGAGAGGAGAGGGGGTTGATGTACATATTATATTTAGATAACTACTGGATGTGATGTGAGCGTGTAAGTGGATAGGTTGCCTGTGCGGATCGAAGAATACCGAGAGTGGTCGGTTCATTTTATTTTGTTTTATTTGTAAGGAGTAAGTACGGGAATTAGTGCTTGGTTGGTTTCGTTCCTGTTGGTGGGGAGGGATTCAGTGGTGTTCTGATAGAGGTGCACGAGGAAAACAAATTTGGGCCCATGGCAAGAACTCCGGAACATGATGGGACACCTCTAGTGCGCATGACCATATTTTGTGGAGCTCCGAGCGTGGTTATTCAGGAAATGGACGGAGGCTCACCATCAACAAACATGTTTCTCGTTGCAGACGGTAAAGTTGCTTTCATCCCATCCAGCTCCGGCGTCATCTTCACCTGACATCCTAATCGAGACCTATAGCGCCATCACCCAATCGCATCCCGTCCAATCCAAATCCAATGTGCGCATCCCGATTTCATTAGGCA